GAGAACTTCCTTTGAAGATTGAGTTGAGAATTCTGTTTCTCTCATAGCTAGTATGTAGAATTCACTGCCTCATCGTGGAGACCTGTAACTGAATTTATTTAGGGCTGAATTATGTAAGTTTTTGTTAGGCAAGGGAATCGATAATTATGGGGAGCATATACAGGAAATTGCAGGTGAGTCCACAACCAGGGTCAACCATGGCTTTATTGAGTGACAGAGTGGGCTAGGCTCAAAGTGCTGACTGGTCTGCACTTGCTCCGATGTTCCTATGTATCTGCTCCTAAGTCCTTTATAGTCCTATGTTCTTATTGCTTCCCGTTATTATAAAACTTTTTCATTTCTGAGATTTAAAACTTTAAGAACATTGAGATGTTCATTAGTCTTGAACTTAATTTTCTATCAGGAATTACATTTTAAAAATTAATTTCATTCTCTGCTTCAAGCTCATTTCAGTACAGAACTGTACCACGGATAACAGAGTTAGGACATTATTCCAAACCTTTTCAGATTTTATGTAGATAGAGATATTCTTCTATAAGTTTAAACAGAGCAGTATTTGAGCATCTATTAGTGATATTACTCTCCCTTTGTTGCATGATGCTCTGCAACTTATCCTTGAGGGATGCACGAGAGCATATCAGGATGACTCACTCCTGGATTTTTCCTTGACTTGTGCAGCACTGTAATTGGTCACAAAGGGGAACCTCAAGGTGGATTATATTCAAATTTTCCCACATGTTGAAATGCGTTCGGTCTCCACTTAACACCTTCCCGAGAGACTGGGGATTTATTATGTGAGGAATCATGGGAGTGAACTCCATTGGACTATTCCATCTCGCAGAACATTAATGCTTTAAGCCACCACATCATCTCTACTTCAAAGCTATTATCTTGTTAATATCTTCGATTCATTGTAGATTTCCAGAAGTTGAAACATCTTCATAAATATAACCACGTCTCACAGTGATTAAAAATATTGCTACATCATGTGATTAATACAGTACACATTTGTCTACCATAATCATTTAAAAGGACCAAATCTCATGTGATTATGTGAGCTCAGTCTTGTGATCCAATGGAGACTCATTGAGTATGATTACAAAATCTGTTATGTACAAAGCAGAACTAACATGATGTCACGGACATACAGAAATACAATACCATAAAAATATGTCTAGAGGATCCCAATAGCCTAAAATCTGAAAATCAATGCAATTTAAATCAAACCACAGCAAAATGCAGGATTGATGAATATGTGGAAAAGTCTGTATAATAGGAATAAAGTTTTGTGTAATTTGTACCAGGCCTGACTTATTGTTAAACATATGCAAAACCTAGAGGCAAGGAACATGAGCAGTTCTGTTTCCTGTCAGCAGTACAAGCAGTACTGTGCTCATTTTCAGATCCACAATTTTAATTATCCAGTCTTTATTAACCTTAGTGGTTATGTTAACCTGATAAGTACTGAAAACAGATCTTTCCAGCTCCCTACATTGTCTTTATAAAAGTATAGCAAAATGAATAACTACTGTTTAAAGATGTATTTTACAAGAAGACAACATCAATTTTTTGTAAAGGGAAACATTATGAACCTTTCTGTAGATTGAAACGGCCATGAACTGGCATAACATTCTATGTGGAGAAAGGTACATCTTAGTGACAATTACAGTGTCATAGAATCATACAGCATGGAAATAGACACTTTGGTTCAACTAGTCCATGCCAACCATAATCCCAAACAGGACTAGTCCCACCTGCCGGTGCTTGGCCCCTATCTCTCCAAACATTTCTTATTCATGTACTAATCTAAATGTCTTTGAAATGTGGTAACTGGTCCTGTATCCACCACTTCCTCACACAAACCACTCTCTGTTTAAAAAACTTGCCCCTCATGTCTTCGTTAAATGTTTCTCTTCTCACCTTAAAACTATGTCCCCTGGCCTTGAAATGTCCCAGCCTAGGGAAAAGACACCTTTCATTCACCTTATCTATGTCCTTCATGATTTTATAAATCTCTATAAGGTCACCCCTCAACTTCCTAAACTCAAGTGAAATAAGTCCCAGACTATCCAGCCTCACCTTACAACTCAAACCCTCTATTCCCAGCAACATCCTGGTAAATCTTTTCTGAGCCTTCCCCAGTTTAATAATATCCTTCCTATTACAGGCAACCAGAACTGGACATAGTACTCCAGAAAATGCCTCTCCAACTTCCTGTGCAACCTTAACGTAACATCCCAACTCCTATACTCAAAGGTCTGAGCAATGATGGCAAGCGTGCTAAGCACCTTCTTAACCACCCTGTCTACACACGATGCTAATTTCAAAGAATTATGTACTTGAACCCCTAGGTCTCTGTTCTACAATACCATCCAAGGTCCTACTTTTAATTATATAAGTCCTACCTTTGTTTGTTTTATCAAAATGCAATACCTTCCATTTATCCAAATTAAACTCCATCTTCAACTCCTCAGTCTATTGACCCAACTGATCGAGATCTCTTTGTAATCTTTGATAACTTTCTTCACTGTCCACTTTAGCACCAACCTTGGTGTCATCTGCAAATTTCCAACCATACTTTCTATATTCTCATTTAAATCATTTGTATAAATGACGAACAAAAGTGGACCCAGCACCGATCCCTGTAGAACAATGCTGGTCACAGCCCTCCAATTATCTCTGCCACTTGAAGGTGTCAACCTGTGGGGAGACTGTAAGTAATCAATGCTTGTACCACCCACATACCCATCTCCGGTTGGTATCCTGGTGGGTTATGTATTTCTTAAATGCAAAATTATGGTTGCAATGGTCATGGAAACAGTCTTGGCACATTCATCTACTCAACGGAATTCTATGTGAGAACTCACGCAAGAGAGGGCAAGGCAAGTCAGGATTGGACGTGAAGGTGTATTTTGTAAAGATGATTCAGTAAAGATGGTATTTTAAACAGTAGAGGACAATTTCTTTACTTTTATATAATAAAAAAGACAATGGCATGAAGGGCTCTTGTGGTACAGTACTAGTGTCACTGCCTCTGAGTTTGGAGGCCTGTGGTTCAAGTCCCACCAGCTCTAGAGGTCTGTCATTAACACATCTCAACAGGGTGATTAAAAATCTAATGAAATTGTGATGAAATCAAGTGGGCAGGCAGTTAAATAGCAGCCAGGAATTTTACCAGCAAAGGTCCATTGTTTTCATCTAATCTTCCATTTCAACCTGCCCACCCAACCAGACAGGAAGGCTACATGCTGTAAAATGGAGGGGTCTTTTGTTGAATTTATATGCCAGGCTCTGATGAAATCACTGCTATTTGGAGTGCGATAAACTGCTGTGGAGTGCCTGCCAGGTGAACTGGATCCAGAAGAGCCCACAATCGATCAGGCCAGGAGAAGTAAGAGCCTAAATGGTGAACTTGCGTCATACATTAGACCCTGATCGCTGTTTTAAGACAGAGCCAGATGTAGCCACCACCAAAGACATCTTTCCCTCCCCACCTTTATCTGCTTTCCGGAGGGACAACTCTCTCCGTGACTCCCTCGTCCGCTCCACACTCCCCTCCAGCTCCACCACACCCGGCACTTTTCCCTGCAACCGCAGGAAGTGCTACACCTGCCCCCATACCTCCTCCCTCACCCCCATCCCAGGCCCCAAGAAGACTTTCCACATCAAGCAGATGTTCACCTGCACATCTGCCAATGTGGTATACTGCATCCGCTGTACCCGGTGTGGCTTCCTCTACATCGGGGAAACCAAGCGGAGACTCGGGGACCGCTTTGCAGAACACCTACGCTCGGTTCGCAACAAACAACTGCACCTCCCAGTCGCGAACCATTTCAACTCCCCCTCCCATTCCTCAGACGACATGTCCATCCTGGGCCTCCTGCAGTGCCACAACGATGCCACCCGAAGGTTGCAGGAACAGCAACTCATATTCCGCTTGGGAACCCTGCAGCCCAATGGTATCAATGTGGATTTCACAAGTTTCAAAATCTCCCCTCCCCCTACCGCATCCCAAAACCAGTCCAGCTCGTCCCTGCCTCCCTAACCTGTTCTTCCTCCCACCTATCCCCTCCTCCCACCTCAAGCCGCACCTCCATCTCCTACCGACCAACCTCATCCCGCCCCCTTGACCTGTCCGTCCTCCCTGGACTGACCTATCCCCTTCCTAACTCCCTACCTACACTCACCTTTACTGGCTCCATCCCCGCCTCTTCGACCTGTTTGTTTCCTCTCCACCTATCCTCTCCTCTATCCCTCTTCTATCCGCCTCCCACTCTCTCCCTATTTATTTCAAAACCCCCTTCCCCTCCCCCTTTTCTGATGAAGGGTCTAGGCCCGAAACGTCAGCCTCTCTGCTCCTATGATGCTGCTTGGCCTGCTGTGTTCATCCAGCC